TGACCACAAGCACCCACCTCTTGCACTTGTCCTGGTCTGGTCCTGGTCTGGTCCTGGTCTGGTCCTGGTCTGGTTCGATGGTGTGGTTTAACGAACAGGTTGAATGTTACTGCTTTCATATAGTCCTTTTCAGAGTATCTGAAATCGCTCCCACAAGCACCATAACTGCAGTGTTTTGTTGTCACCATGATTCAATGATTTAGCCCAAATAAATGGGAAGTGGGGGTGGAATGGTCATGAGGTTAGGGGAGGGACTGGCTGAGGTGGTTTTTGTAGGTGAATTGGAAACCCTAGGTGGTTTTGGAGGTACATATGGGGAGTGGTTTAGAATGTTGGACAGGACTCTAGATCTAGCTAATATGGGTGTGAGAGGAATAGTCTTCATCGCCGATTGTATTAGCCCTGCAGAGTGTTCAGGTAGGTCTAACAGTGAAGGCGGGGATGAAAAACAAACGGACGTGTCCCCATTCTCTCTTGATGGAGTGGACGTGGCAGGGGGGACCCAAGACAGGTCCATGGGAGGTGGCGAGGGAGTCTTTGATGGAGGGGCAGGTGGTTGAGGAAACCCCAGCACAGGCCTGTCTGCTGTAGGCTGGGGTGAGGATGGGGGCTTCAGAGGCGCAGTAGATGAAGAAGGCGTGACTGCTTTGGAGCAGGCTGGGGATGAGGATGTTGGTGGTGGTGGTCGTGCTGCTGGTACTGCTGCTGGTGATGATGCAGCTGCTGCTGGTGATGATGCAGCTGCTGCTGGTGATGATGCAGCTGCTTCTGATGTCAGTGGAGGGGTTGAGATCATTTGAGGCGGTGATGGTGTTGAGATCCTTCGAGGTGGTGGTGGTGTTGAGATCCTTCGAGGTGGTGGAGGTGTTGAGATCTTTCGAGGTGGTGGTGGTGTTGAGATCCTTCGAGGTGGTGGAGGTGCAGAGACTTTTGGAGTCGGCTTCCTCCCTTTTGATGGCTGCACGCGCTGCGCAGGCTGAGGTTTCAGGGCAAAAGAAAGGTTATCCATCAACACTTTTACTCCGTAAGTGTTCAGATGTGGCCCTTTCCCTTCAAAAAGCTCATGCCTATTCCAGAACAGATTAAAATTCTCAATGAAGGCAAGTCCTCTGCGTGAACATTCATTGAGTAGGAAAGTATTTAGCTGATACAGACGACTGAATTTCATTTGCTTCCGGTCCACATTTGGTAGTGGGCCACTGAATTTTTGCAAGGTCGTCCAATAAGAGAGAATAATCCCGTTTCAACTTGTCACTTGTGTTGTCATAGACGTCTACTGCCCCCACGTGGATCAACAATCTTTTTACCCTGCCGGTCTCAGACAGAAGCCTCGGAGCCAACCGCCTTATCTCATCCACTTTGGCCGAGTGTACTGAGTGAACCTTCAGATTACGCATGTTTAAATTCCTAATCGCCGAATCCCCGATAAAGAGCGACTCAGCTGCATTTGACCTTGACTGAGACTTAGACTGGGACTGAAACGCTACTGCTGATTGATCTTCCAAAAGTGGTGAATAGCGGTTCCTTGTAATTAAAGATTTAATAAAGATCAATCAGAATCAGAATCATTTTTATTGCCACGTAAGTAACAGGAAGTCACAGACTTGGAAATTGCTTTGGCTCAGTGCAACAGTCAGAAAGAGAGGTAAAAGTAGAGAATGCATAATAAAAAATAAAGAATAAAAAGCACTCTCGTGTACAGCGATGTGAAGAAATGAAGAGATGTTGTAACTTCTAAACGTGTTCTTTATTCTTGTACAGAACCATAGTCACTTGTGACCAAACGTCTCATGCGTGATGACACAAAATATAGTGGCCTATGGGCGCACATCATGACATCTCCCCCTTTGAAAACAATGGAATATCCCCAAAATACAATACTCTTTTTTTTTTTGGGTTAGGGTTAACCAGGGTTAAACATGTCTGTAAACACAAAAGATTATCTCTGCATCTTGTCTTATCTATGTAAAACAATATTACTGCATTAATTTCAGAACAAAACATTTTAACAAAACTGTTTAACTTTACAGTGTCCAGTTATTGCCTGTATCTCAGAGGAGCTCCAATAACTCGGCCTCTAGATGTGACCTGGACATCTTTCCGTGGTGTTTCATGCAGTGACAGTTTTGTTGTCACAACACATTGTCCAGAATCCAACTCACTGTCCTCCTTAGCGGCATCCACAGGGCTGGTTTGTTTTGGTGAGCTCGCATGTGGCAGTTCTTGTGGTGGTAGTGGGCTGATTGAATCCGGAACTAGTTGAATGTGTCTCCTATTTCGACGTGAAATAGTCCCATTGTCCATTTGAACCAATCACTCATCACTCTTTCCAAGAACTTTTCCTGAAGATTTCCAAGTTTTTTCTCTATCCAACTTTACTTTGACGTCTTGTCCTGGAAACAGCTCAGCCAGAGGTCTTGCTGAGTGGTGGCGGTCATGGAAGAACTTATAAGAAGACTTGGACTGCTGGTCCTTTCTCAAAATGGCTTTCTTGTCGATAGGTACACTGTTCATCTTGTTCTCCAGCATTGGCAGTGTTGTTCTGATGTGTCTGCCTGTCATAACTACAGCTGGACACACGCCTGTAGCAGTGCATGGGGTTGCTCGGTAACACATCAGAGCCAAATGCGGGTCAGGTTGTTTCAGGATGTGTTTTGCTGTTTGTACAGCACGCTCTGCGGCACCGTTTGATTGGGGAAAGTGTGGACTGGAGGTTACATGTGCAAAGCCATATTCTGCACAATAATGCTTGAATTCCTCTGAAGTGAATTGTGTAGCATTATCGCTGACCAGCTCCAGTGGTATTCCCCATCGGACAAACATATTTTTGATTTTGCCAATAACTTGTCTACTTGAAATGTTGGACAGGTTTGCTATCTCAATGTCTCTGGAATAGTAATCTGTCACAATAAGGTAGTTTTGTTTTTCAAACTCACATAAGTCAGCTGCAATGTGCTGCCAGGGCCCTTGTGGCAGAGGGGTGGTGAGAAGAGGCTCATGTCTTTGTGAAGGTTTGTTTTCAATACAAAACCTGCATGTAATAATCTGAGTCATCTCTTTGCTGATACCCGGCCACCACACTGACATCCTTGCACGGGCGCAACACTTAGTTAGTCCTTGGTGACCCTCATGTATGCGTTTTAACACATTTGACCTGAGCGCAGTTGGTATGACTATCCTGTCCTGAAACAATATTAGTCCATCTGCCTCAGAGAGTTGTGTGCGCGCTGAATAGTAACTTTGAAGCGAAGGATGTAATGCCTCTCTTAAGGGCCAGCCATTCTGGCCGGTCCTTCATTCATTCATCAGGCTGGTAACTTTCACTAACTCTTTGTCATGTAGAGTAGCTTTACTCTACATGACAAAGAGTTATTTGACACAACATATTGCAAATGTACTTGTACCTCTTTGTCGGTGCTGCTGTCACTTGTGCAGCTCAGTGGATTTCTGGAGAGCGCGTCTGCTACGGCCAGTTGTTTCCCTGGAACGTGCTCTGCAACCACCTGAAATCTCAGAAGGCGCATTAGAAGCCTTTGACACCTGGGCGGGGCTTTGTCTATGTTGTAAGTGTTAATTAATGGAACCAAAGGTTTATGATCTGTTTGCAACCTGAAACCATCCATCCCTTGTACATAGCGTGCAAATCTCTCACATGCCCATACCCCAGCTAAGCACTCTTTTTTGATTTGTGAGTATCGTTTCTCAGAGTCCGTTAAAGTGCGGGAACAGAAAGCTACTGGCTTTAACTTGCCCCCATTCTCCTGAAGTAGAGTGGCTCCTAACCCATATCTGCTCGCGTCTGCGCTAATGACAGTCTCTCGTTGTGGATCATAATATGCAAGTGCCGGTGCTTTTACAAGCATAGCTTTAACCTCCATGAATGCTTGTTCTTGTGCATAATCCCACTTCTGACACCATCTCGTGTACAGCGATGTGAAGAAATGAAGAGATGTTGTAACTTCTAAACGTGTACTTTATTCTCGTACAGAACCATAGTCACTCGTGACCAAACACATGTCTCAAACGTCTCATGCGTGATGACACAAAATATAGTGGCCTATGGGCGCACATCATGACAAGCACTTCTAAGGAATACGTTTAAAATAAAGTTGCAATTACTATATACAATGTACAAGTGCACGTGGTGCACACAATGTAAGGTGACAGCAGTACAGTGAAGTAAAGTGACGTATGATGGGCAGTAAAGTGACTTTATAAAGGGCGGGGGGACAGGTTAAGAAGTGTTCAAGAGTCCAACAGCAGAGGGGAAGAAACTGTTCTTGTGGCGGGAGGTTCTAGTCCTGATGGACCGCAGCCTCCTGCCTGAGGGGAGTGGTTGGAATAGTCCATGTGCAGGTGAGAGGGGAGTGGTTGGAAAAGTCCATGTGCAGGTGAGAGGGGAGTGGTTGGAATAGTCCATGTGCAGGTGAGAGGGGAGTGGTTGGAATAGTCCATGTGCAGGTGAGAGGGGAGTGGTTGGAATAGTCCATGTGCAGGGGAGAAGGGAGTGGTTGGAATAGTCCATGTGCTGGTGAGAGGGGAGAGGTTGGAATAGTCCATGTGCAGGTGAGAGGGGAGAGGTTGGAATAGTCCATGTGCAGGTGAGAGGGGAGAGGTTGGAATAGTCCATGTGCAGGTGAGAGGGGAGTGGTTGGAATAGTCCATGTGCAGGTGAGAGGGGAGAGGTTGGAATAGTCCATGTGCAGGTGAGAGGGGAGAGGTTGGAATAGTCCATGTGCAGGTGAGAGGGGAGTGGTTGGAATAGTCCATGTGCAGGTGAGAGGGGAGAGGTTGGAATAGTCCATGTGCAGGTGAGAGGGGAGTGGTTGGAATAGTCCATGTGCAGGTGAGAGGGGAGAGGTTGGAATAGTGCAGGTGAGAGGGGAGTGGTTGGAATAGTCCATGTGCAGGTGAGAGGGGAGTGGTTGGAATAGTCCATGTGCAGGTGAGAGGGGTCGGCTGTGATACGACCAGCCCGGCCTCGAGCTCGGGCGACGTACAGGTCCTGCAGCGATGGAAGGCTGCGGCCGATCACTTCCTCTGCAGAGCGCACAATGCACTGTAGTCTCTGTTTGTCCCTGACTGTGGCTCCAGCGAACCACACGGTGACGGAGGAGGTGATGGAGGAGGTGATGGAGGAGGTGATGGAGGAGGTGATGGAGGAGGTGATGGGGGCGGTGATGGAGGAGGTGATGGAGGAGGTGATGGGGGCGGTGATGGAGGAGGTGATGGAGGAGGTGATGGAGGAGGTGATGGAGGAGGTGAGGATGGACTCGATGATGGCCGTGTAGAACTGCACCAACATCTGTGCAGGCAGCTTGGCTTTCCTGAGCTGCCGCAGGAAGTACATCCTCTGCTGGGCCTTCTTGATGAGGAGGTGATGGTCGGCTCCCACTTGAGGTCCTGGGTGATGGTGGTGCCCAGGAAACGGAAGGACTCCACAGAGGTGATGGGGGAGTCCATCAGGGTGGGTGGGGGCGGGGGGACAGTGCTCTTCCTCAAGTCCACAATCATCTCCACTGTCTTCTGGGCGTTCAGCTCCAGGTTGTTACCACTGCACCAGGACACCAGCCGGTCCACCTCCCTCCTGTAGGAGACACCAGGACACCAGCCGGTCCACCTCCCTCCTGTAGGAGACACCAGGACACCAGCCGGTCCACCTCCTCCTGTAGGAGACACCAGGACACCAGCCGGTCCACCTCCCTCCTGTAGGAGACACCAGGACACCAGCCGGTCCACCTCCCTCCTGTAGGAGACACCAGGACACCAGCCGGTCCACCTCCCTCCTGTAGGAGACACCAGGACACCAGCCGGTCCACCTCCCTCCTGTAGGAGACACCAGGACACCAGCCGGTCCACCTCCCTCCTGTAGGAGACACCAGGACACCAGCCGGTCCACCTCCCTCCTGTAGGAGACACCAGGACACCAGCCGGTCCACCTCCCTCCTGTAGGAGACACCAGGACACCAGCCGGTCCACCTCCCTCCTGTAGGAGACACCAGGACACCAGCCGGTCCACCTCCCTCCTGTAGGAGACACCAGGACACCAGCCGGTCCACCTCCCTCCTGTAGGAGACACCAGGACACCAGCCGGTCCACCTCCCTCCTGTAGGCGGACTCATTGTTGTTGGAGATACAATACAATACAATACAATTTATTCTTGTATAGCCCTAGGTCACAACAGAAGTCATCTCAGAGGACTTAACAAAACCATTGAAATCACCAACACAGGTCAGAGAATCAACAGTTAAAACACATGAAGAATATAAAGCACACACAGAAGAAAATGTCCATACATGTTGTAGAATGCTAAAGTGTCCTGATCATCACCAATCCTTTCTGTTGGACACTAACTGTCCAACAAGACCCTCCTGCATTGACAAGGAACAACTCTTAAAAACCCAGTGGGAAAAAGTGAGAAACCTTGGGGAGAACTAGGGAAACCCACAGGGAGGGAGACCCATATGAGAAAGGGATCCGCTCCTCCGGACGGACAGGCTAATGATCTAGGACCTAAGCTAGCTACAGAACGTGGACCAGTGGCCGCTGAACGTGGACAGGTCCGGTGCAGGACTGAAGCACTCCCAGGCGGGTCGGGCGGGGCAGTCCGCAGGTGTAGATGGAAGAGGCCAGGCTCAGAGGTCCCGTCATCGTACCATGAAACAGACAATGGGACAACGGGTGAATAGTCGTCAACAAACTACAGTCAAAATCCTAAAAATGCTAAACTGATAAAGTAGGAAGGAGGAGAGGATAGTGCTCAAGTTACCATACTTCTCCAGCAGGGGGCGCCCTATGCAGCTTGACTGACAGTCTGAGGAGTTTAGCCTTCCCTGAGTCTTACCTTCCTAGCCATATGCTAAAGATGAGATGAGTCATGAGGGTGGTGTCATCTGTGAACTTGATCAGCTTCACGGAGTCGTGGCTGGAGGTGCAGTGGTTGGTGTACAGGGAGAAGAGTAGGGTAGAAAGAACACAGCCCTGTGGGGCTCCTGTATTTATAATCCGAGAGTCCGAGACATTCTTCCCCAGACGCACTCGCTGCTTCCTGTCCGTCAGGAAGTCAGTGATCCACCTGCAGGTGGAATCGGGCACGTTGAGCTGGGAGAGCTTGTCCTGGAGCAGGGATGGCAGGATCGTGTTGAAGACAGAGCTGAGGTCCACGAACAGGACCCTGGCGTAGGTCCCCGGGGAGTCCAGGTGCTGTAGGATGTGGTGGAGGGCCAGGTTAATGGCGTCGTCTACAGATCTGTTGGCTCTGTAGGCGAACTGCAGGGGGTCCAGGAGGGGGGAGGTGAGGGACTTGAGATGGGAGAGAACCAGGCGTTCAAATGACTTCATGACGACAGACGTAAGTGCTACAGGTCTGTAGTCATTGAGTCCTGTGATCCTGGGCTTCTTCGGGACGGGGACGATGATGGAGGATTTGAAGCAGGCCGGGACATGGCAGGACTGCAGAGAGGTGTTGAAAATGTCCGTGAACACAGGAGTAAGCTCACTGGCGCAGTGTCTCAGAGTGGCCGGAGACACGTGGTCCGGGCCAGGAGCTTTGCGGGGGTGCAGCCTCAAGAAGAGTCGTTTAATGTCTTCTGAAGCAATTGTCAGGGTGGGGGCAGAGCTGATGTGTGGGTCGTTAGAGTAATGTGGGGTGAGGGAGGGGTCCGGGGCAGCATCAATGCGGCTGAAAATCCGGTTCAGGTCGTTGGCCAGTTTGTGGTCGTCAGCACAGAGGGGGGCTTTGGGTTTGTAGTTGGTGATCTCCCGTAGGCCCCTCCAGACAGAAGCAGTATCGTTGTTACCAAACTGCTCCTGTAGTCGTTCTCTGTGCCGGGACTTTAGCTGCTTTGTAGCCGCTGCGGTCCCCCTCCCTGAAAGCAGACTCCTTTGCTTTTCTGAGCTGCCGGAGTTTAGCAGTGAACCAGGGTTTGTCGTTGTTATAGATGACCCTGGTCCTTGTTGGAATGATGCTATCCTCACAGAAGTGAATACAGTGCCTTGCGAAAGTAGTGCCTTTCAACATTTCGCCACATTTCAGGCTTCAAACATAAAGATATAAAATGTTGATTTTTTTGTCATGAATCAACAACAAGTGGGACACAATCGTGAAGTGGAACGAAACTTATTGGATAATTTAAACTTTTTTAACAAATCAAAAACTGAAAAGTGGGGCGTGCAATATTATTTCGGCCCCTTACACTTACACTATTATTATTATTTAAAGGTTAGTTACGTAACATGAAAGTCATGCAGAAAGTTAAATATAACAACAATATAACAAAGAAAAAGTGGGGCGTGCAAAATATTATTGGGCCCCTTTACTTTCAGTGCAGCAAACTCAGTCCAGAAGTTCAGTGAGGATCTTTGAATGATCCAATGTTGTCCTAAATGACTGATGATGATAAATAGAATGCACCTGTGTGTAATCAAGTCTCCGTATAAATGCACCTGCTCTTTGATAGTCTCAGGGTTCTGTTTAAAGCACAGAGAGAACCATGAAGACAAAGGAACACACCAGGCAGGTCCGAGATACTGTTGTGGAGAAGTTTAAAGCCAGATTTGGATACAAAAAGATTTCCCAAGCTTTAAACATCTCAAGGAGCACTGTGCAAGTAATTATATTGAAATGGAAGGAGTATCAGACCACTGCAAATCTACCAAGACCCGGCCGTCCCTCCAAACTTTCATCTCAAACAAGGAGAAGACTGATCAGAGATGCAGCCAAGAGGCCCATGATCACTCTGGATGAAATGCAGATAACTACAGCTGAGGTGGGAGAGTCTGTCCATAGGACAACAATCAGTCGTGCACTGCACAAATCTGGCCTTTATGGAAGAGTGGCAAGAAGAAAGCCATTTCTCAAAGATATCCATAAAAAGTCTGGTTTAAAGTTTGCCACAAGCCACCTGGGAGACACACCAAACATGTGGAAGAAGGTGCTCTGGTCAGATGAAACCAAAATCGAACTTTTTGGCCACAATGCAAAAGGATATGTTTGGCGTAAAAGCAACACAGCTCATCACCCTGAACACACCATCCCCACTGTCAAACATGGTGGTGGCAGCATCATGCTTTGGGCCTGCTTTTCTTCAGCAGGGACAGGGAAGATGGCTAAAATTGATGGGAAGATGGATGGAGCCAAATACAGGACCATTCTGGAAGAAAACCTGTTGGAGTCTGCAAAAGACCTGAGACTGGGACGGAGATTTATCTTCCAACAGGACAATGATCCAAAACATAAAGCCAAATCTACAATGGAATGGTTCACAAATAGACGTATCCAGGTGTTAGAATGGCCAAGTCAAAGTCCAGACCTGAATCCAATCGAGAATCTGTGGAAAGAGCTGAAGACTGCTGTTCACAAATGCTCTCCATCCAACCTCACTGAGCTCGAGCTGTTTTGCAAGGAAGAATGGGAACGAATTCCAGTCTCTCGATGTGCAAAACTGATAGAGACATACCCCAAGCGACTTGCAGCTGTAATTGCAGCAAAAGGTGGCGCTACAAATTATTAGCGCAAGGGGCCGAATAATATTGCACGCCCCACTTTTCAGTTTTTTATTTGTTACAAAGGTTTAAATTATCCAATAAATTTCGTTCCACTTCACGATTGTGTCCCACTTGTTGTTGATTCTTGACCAAAAATTTGATTTTTATATCTTTATGTTCGAAGCCTGAAATGTGGCGAAATGTTGAAAGGTTCAAGGGGGCCGAATACTTTTGCAAGGGACTGTATATGACGTCACAGTGTCCGTGTATTCATCCAAACTATCTGTGGCAGCTCTGAAAAGGTCCCAGTCTGTAGATTCCATGCATGCAGCTCTTCCACAGCTTCATCAGACCACACTTTGGAGCTCCTCACTGCAGGTTTCGAGAGCTTTAGTCTCTGTCTGTAAGCAGGAACCAGATGTATCATGGAGTGATCTGAGAAGCCGAGGGCTGGCTTGGGAACAGCGTGAAAAGCTCCGCGCACGGTGGTGTAACAGTGATCCAGAGTGTTCTCCTCTCTGGTCGGGCATTTGATAAACTGTCTGTATTTGGGTAATTCCTGGCTCAAGTTTCCCTTATTAAAATTCCCCAGGATAATAATCAGAGAGTCCGGGTATAAACGTTCCATACACAGTACTTGCTCTGCGTCCGCGCATGGCGGTATGTAAACAGAGGCAAGAATGAATGAAACGAACTCACGAGGGGAGTAGTATGGCTTACAACGAATGAAAAGATATTCCAGAGCAGGAGAGCAGTGCTTGGAGATCACTGTCACATCGTTACACCAGTATTAATGTAGAAGCAGAGTCCTCCGCCTCAGCTCTTTCCTGAGAGCGCACAATGGCGAGATCATGTGACTGAGATCATGTGACTGAGATCATGTGACTGAGGGTAAGACTTTAATATTCCGTGACCCACAACAATAAGTTTGTTTTTTATTATTTTATTGAATAATTCTAATATTCTTGGTTTCCGTGTTTTGTCTTGACTCCACCTGTGGCTTCAGGCTTTTTGTTTTTGTCTCATCATAAATGTCTTCGTTTTGCTCGTGGCTCTAAATTATCATATTCATTTAAACTATTAAAAATTCCATTTCCCTTGTTTGTGATTCCCTGGTTTGAGTGAAATGAAATCTGTTTTTTTACCGACTCGCAATGAAGTTGTTCATAGAGAATCTTCTTTAACTTCAAAGACCTTCTCACCCCCGCTCCTCGGAGTAGAGCTAGTAGGGCGGCGCTAGTAGAGCTAGCGGCCACCAGCAGCTGCCTCTGCAGCAGAGCAGGATTTACAACACACCATCAGTATAGGGTCAAACTAACCTGTCTCAAAGGCAGCAGACCGCCACAGAATGGGGACTGTTTCTGAATGATATCGATTAGAGTGGAATAAAAAGTACGAACTGCTTGTCACAGGGAGCCTTCCCATATTCTCACAGTAACCGCTTATGTTGCGGTTCTTTTCTTCAGTTTTGTCTTTACATTTTATGTATGAACCCAGACCAAGATAAAGTATATGTTGTGGGGGGTCATATAGTTATACAATTCTAAAGTCTGCCACAGTAACCTGCAACCACTGCACCTCCTTGTCCCCAAGGAAAATTATACCCCAATGTGCACAAAAAAGACAGTAATTTAACACACGCTCAAACATAAAGTAATATTTATTGTTCACAAGTACAATAAACAATATACAATGAAATTGCACACAATATAGAACACTACTAATACTAACAACGGTCTGAAGATAAATTCAGCTAACTAATCTAACAATAAAAGCAACTAACTAATGACTAAAACTCCAATATTCAACAACGCTATAAACACTACACAATTATCTATAATACAAACAGCTATGCTGATAAAAATCTCCCTAAATGCTGTAACTAATCGCAAACCTGACAATCGATGAAAATACTCTCTGCTATTCCTTCTCCAACTCATACGGGGGCGTGAACGAGACTGGGCCGTTTATACCTCAGGGCAGCAGGGCAACTGACGTCAGAAACAACTGCTGCGCCAGTGTTGGCGCCCGATTCAAAATTCAAATGTAGTAAATACAGGTCGCCTGCAGATGTCGCCTCACAGACCGTTTTAGGCAGAAAGTTGATCTTTCAACTAATTTGCACCAAAGTGACCAAAATTATGACCAAGATATGTAGACAACACTATTGGACACTCACTCGCGGAGCACCTTGTTTAAAGCTCTCTTTTCTTTATCTGTGATGTTTCCAAACCACACAGACACAGAACCAACAAGTAAACTCTCAATGGTGCAGCGATAAAAGTTAAGCACAATCTTAGAGTTAGTGGTAAATTCTCTAAGTTTACGCAGAAAGTAGAGACGCTGACGAGGACACACAATCGTGAGTGTACAATGTAAAAGCAAAGGACTCAAAATACATCCCTGAGGAGAACCAGTGCTCACAGAAACAACATCAGAAAAACAGTCATTGATTTTCACTCTCTGACATCTGTCAGTTAAAAAGCGAAAAATCCAAAATTTGAGGGCGAGTTGTCCTTTAAAATCTATTGGAGTTAGCAGTAGTTAGCAGCAGAGGCCTATTTGTTGAAAATGTGAAAGAAGTCCTCTCTGTGGTCTCTCTCTAGTCTCTCTGGTCTCTCTCTGATCTCTCTCTGGTCTCTCTCTGGTCTCTCTCTAGTCTCTCTGGTCTCTCTCTGGTCTCTCTCTAGTGTCTCTGGTCTCTCTCTCTGGTCTCTCTCTGGTCTCTCTCTGGTCTCTCTCTCTCTCTGGTCTCTCTCTGGTCTCTCTCTCTGGTCTCTCTCTGGTCTCTCTCTGGTCTCTCTCTTGTCTCTCTATGGTCTCTCTCTGGTCTCTCTCTCTGGTCTCTCTTTGGTCTCTCTTTGGTCTCTTTCTGGTCTCTCTCTAGTCTCTCTCTGGTCTCTCTCTGGTCTCTCTCTTGTCTCTCTATGGTCTCTCTCTGGTCTCTCTCTGGTCTCTCTCTCTAGTGTCTCTGGTCTCTCTCTCTGGTCTCTCTCTGGTCTCTCTCTGGTCTCTCTCTGGTCTCTCTCTGGTCTCTCTCTGGTCTCTCTCTCTGGTCTCTCTTTGGTCTCTCTTTGGTCTCTTTCTGGTCTCTCTCTAGTCTCTCTCTGGTCTCTCTCTGGTCTCTCTCTTGTCTCTCTATGGTCTCTCTCTGGTCTCTCTCTCTGGTCTCTCTCTGGTCTCTCTCTAGTCTCTCTATGGTCTCTCTCTGGTCTCTCTCTGGTCTCCCTCTGGTCTCTCTCTGGTCTCTCTCTTGTCTCTCTATGGTCTCTCTCTGGTCTCTCTCTCTGGTCTCTCTCTGGTCTCTCTCTGGTCTCTTTCTGGTCTCTCTCTGGTCTCCCTCTGGTCTCTCTATCTGGTCTCTCTCTAGTCTCTCTATGGTCTCTCTATGGTCTCTGTAGTTTCCATTTTTTCTTCTGCTGTTACAGAATGATGTTGGTTCTCTCCCGTCTTTGGCCTGAGGAGGATGTTGTTGAGGAAGTTCTGCTGCTGTTGTTCCACTGCCCCCTACTGCCCCGCACTGCCCCCTACTGCCCCGCACTGCCCCCTACTGCCCCGCACTGCCCCCTACTGCCCCGCACTGCCCCCTACTGCCCCGCACTGCCCCCTACTGCCCCGCACTGCCCCCTACTGCCCCGCACTGCCCCCTACTGCCCCGCACTGCCCCCTACTGCCCCGCACTGCCCCCTACTGCCCCGCACTGCCCCCTACTGCCCCGCACTGCCCCCTACTGCCCCGCACTGCCCCCTACTGCCCCGCACTGCCCCCTACTGCCCCGCACTGCCCCCTACTAATCCTGCATGTTTGAGCCATTTATGTAACTTTGTTTTTGCCAAGTGTTCTTTGCTGAAATAATCCTAGTCGAGTGGAGCTTGGGGTTCCTTTGATCTGCCGATTGTGTGACAATCAATGAAAGAGACGCTGCTGGACTGATCAGACTTTTTATTTTATAACATAATTTAGATCAATATTGAAATACTAGATTTAATCATGAAGAGCAGAGAGATGCATCTTTTGGGTTTTTGACTTTTCTCTCTGGGCCATTTAAGGACATTTACGGTCCCCGCACTCCCTCTGAACTAGTAGCTGTGTGTTTAAAGTGTTTTCTGATCTGCTGTTGGTGAATCGACAACTTCAAAATACATTGAATTGAACATCAAGATTTATGGTCCTCAGACCCAGAACTGAGGCTGTAGACCCAGAACTGAGGCTGTAGACCCAGGACGGAGGCTGTAGACCCAGGACTGAGGCTGTAGACCCAGGACTGAGGCTGTAGACCCAGGACTGAGGCTGTAGACCCAGGACTGAGGCTGTAGACCCAGGACTGAGGCTGTAGACCCAGGACTGAGGCTGTCGACCCAGGACTGAGGCTGTAGACCCAGGACTGAGGCTGTAGACCCAGGACTGAGGCTGTAGACCCGAGGATGAGGCTGTAGACCCAGGACTGAGGCTGTCGACCCAGGACTGAGGCTGTAGACCCAGGACTGAGGCTGTAGACCCAGGACTGAGGCTGTAGATCCAGGACTGAGGCTGTAGACCCGAGGACTGAGGCTGTAGACCCAGGACTGAGGCTGTAGATCCAGGACTGAGGCTGTAGACCAGGACTGAGGGGTCAGACCCAGGACTGAGGCTGTCGACCCAGGACTGAGGCTGTAGACCCAGGACTGAGGCTGTAGACCCAGGACTGAGGCTGTAGACCCAGGACTGAGGCTGTAGACCCAGGACTGAGGCTGTCGACCCAGGACTGAGGCTGTAGACCAGGACTGAGGCTGTAGACCCAGGACTGAGGCTGTAGACCAGGACTGAGGTTGTAAGACCCAGGACTGAGGCTGTAGACCCAGGACTGAGGCTGTCGACCCAGGACTGAGGCTGTAGACCCAGGACTGAGGCTATAGACCCAGGACTGAGGCTGTAGACCCAGGACTGAGGCTGTAGACCCAGGACTGAGGCTGTAGACCCAGGACTGAGGATGTAGATCCAGGACTGAGGCTGTAGACCCAGGACTGAGGTTGTAGAACCCAGGACTGAGGCTGTAGATCCAGGACTGAGGCTGTAGACCCAGGACTGAGGGGGTCAGACCCAGGACTGAGGCTGTCGACCCAGGACTGAGGCTGTAGACCCAGGACTGAGGCTGTAGACCCAGGACTGAGGCTGTAGACCCAGGACTGAGGCTGTAGACCCTGGACTGAGGTTGTCGACCCAGGACTGAGGCTGTAGACCCAGGACTGAGGCTGTCGACCCAGGACTGAGGCTGTAGACCCAGGACTGAGGCTGTAGACCCAGGACTGAGGCTGTAGACCCAGGACTGAGGCTGTAGACCCAGGACTGAGGCTGTAGACCCAGGAATGAGGCTGTAGACCCAGGACTGAGGGAGGTCAGACCCAGGACTGAGGCTGTCGACCCAGGACTGAGGCTAGTGTCGACCCAGGACTGAGGCTGTAGACCAGGACTGAGGCTGTCGACCCAGGACGGAGGCTGTAGACCCAGGACTGAGGCTGTAGACCCAGGACTGAGGCTGTCGACCAGGACTGAGGCTGTAGACCCAGGACTGAGGCTGTCGACCCAGGACTGAGGCTGTAGACCCAGGACTGAGGACTGTAGACCCAGGACTGAGGCTGTAGACCCAGGACTGAGGCTGTAGACCCAGGACTGAGGCTGTAGACCCAGGACTGAGGCTGTAGAGACCAGGACTGAGGCTGTAGACCCAGGACTGAGGCTGTAGACCAGGACTGAGGCTGTAGATCCAGGACTGAGGCTGTAGATCCAGAACTGAGGTGTAGATCCAGGACTGAGGCTGTAGACCCAGGACTGAGGCTGTAGACCCAGGACTGAGGCTGTAGACCCAGGACTGAGGCTGTAGACCCAGGACTGAGGCTGTAGACCCAGGACTGAGGCTGTAGACCCAGCATGTTATGTAAAAACAAAATGCTGAACAGCAGTGGTCTTGGAGAAGTAGGACTGTCGATTCAGCGACAGCAGATCAGAGAATCAGAGCACTCTGGTCACATGACTCTGTTTCCCTCTGACGCAGCTGCTGTTTTATGGTGACATTCCGCATTTCACTCATTTTTTCCACTTTTCTTTTGCCGCGGTGGTTTTCACTTCCTGGAAGTGTGTGTGTGTGTGTGTGTGTGTTTGCTTGTTGCCGTGGCAACAGTATCTGACCGTGTGTAATTTACTGCTGTTTCTGGGTTATGTGTTGTTGCTAGCAGCTCATGCTACATGTTGTTATTTCATAATGTTATAAGAGCGAAGGATTCAACTATATATATTATACATTATATATATTATACATCATATATATTATACATTATATATATTATACATTATAAATATATATTATACATTATATATATATATTATACATCATATATATGATACATTATATATATATATTATACATTTTTATATATATATATATATATATATATATTATACATTATATATACAGTGCCTTGCGAAAGTATTCGGCCCCCTTGAACCTTTCAACATTTCGCCACATTTCAGGCTTCAAACATAAAGATATAACATTTAAATTTTTTGTCATGAATCAACAACAAGTGGGACACAATCGTGAAGTGGAACGACATTCATTGGATAATTTAAACTTTTTTAACAAATAAAAAACTGAAAAGTGGGGCGTACAATATTATTGGGCCCCTTTACTTTCAGTGCAGCAAACTCAGTCCAGAAGTTCAGTGAGGATCTTTGAATGATCCAATGTTGTCCTAAATGACTGATGATGATAAATAGAATGCACCTGTGTGTAATCAAGTCTCCGTATAAATGCACCTGCTCTTTGATAGTCTCAGGGTTCTGTTTAAAGCGCAGAGAGAACCATGAAGACAAAGGAACACACCAGGCAGGTCCGAGAAACTGTTGTGGAGAAGTTTAAAGCCGGATTTGGATACAAAAAGATTTCCCAAGCTTTAAACATCTCAAGGAGCACTGTGCAAGCAATTATATTGAAATGGAAGGAGTATCAGACCACTGCAAATCTACCAAGACCCGGCCGTCCCTCCAAACTTTCATCTCAAACAAGGAGAAGACTGATCAGAGATGCAGCCAAGAGGCCCATGATCACTCTGGATGAACTGCAGATAACTACAGCTGAGGTGGGAGAGTCTGTCCATAGGACAACAATCAGTCGTGCACTGCACAAATCTGACATTTATGGAAGAGTGGCAAGAAGAAAGCCATTTCTCAAAGATATCCATAAAAAGTCCTGTTTAAAGTTTGCCACAAGCCACCTGGGAGACACACCAAACATGTGGAAGAAGGTGCTCTGGTCAGATGAAACCAAAATCAAACTTTTTGGCCACAATGCAAAACGATATGTTTGGCGTAAAAGCAACACAGCTCATCACCCTGAACACACCATCCCCACTGTCAAACATGGTGGTGGCAGCATCATGCTTTGGGACTGCTTTTCTTCAGCAGGGACAGGGAAGATGGCTAAAATTGATGGGAAGATGGATGGAGCCAAATACAGGACCATTCTGGAAGAAAACCTGTTGGAGTCTGCAAAAGACCTGAGTCTGGGACGGAGATTTATCTTCCAACAGGACAATGATCCAAAACATAAAGCCAAATCTACAATGGAATGGTTCACAAATAGACGTATCCAGGTGTTAGAATGGCCAAGTCAAAGTCCAGACCTGAATCCAATCCAGAATCTGTGGAAAGAGCTGAAGACTGCTGTTCACAAACGCTCTCCATCCAACCTCACTGAGCTCCAGCTGTTTTGCAAGGAAGAATGGGCAAGAATTCCAGTCTCTCGATGTGCAAAACTGATAGACATACCCCAAGCGACTTGCAGCTGTAATTGCAGCAAAAGGTGGCGCTACAAAGTATTAGCGCAAGGGGGCCGAATAATATTGCACGCCCCACTTTTCAGTTTTTTATTTGTTAAAAAGGTTTAAATTATCCAATAAATTTCGTTCCACTTCACGATTGTGTCCCACTTGTTGTTTATTCTTGACAAAAAATTAAATTTTTATATCTTTATGTTTGAAGCCTGAAATGTGGCGAAATGTTGAAAGCTTCAAGGGGGCCGGATACCTTCGCAAGGCACTGTATATATGTATATTATACATTATAAATATATATATATATATATTTCACTTGTTCCTTTGGTGCTTCTGCTACTACTGCTGCTACTACTACAACTGCTGCTGCCGCTACTGCTGCTACTACTACAACTGCTGCTGCCGCTACTGCTGCTACTACTGCTACTACTACTACTACTACTACTACTACTACTACTACTACTGCTACTACTGCTACTACTACTACTACTACTACTACTACTACTACTACTACTGCTACTACTGATGCTACTACTGCTGCTACTACTGCTGCTACTACTGCTACTACTACTACTACTACTACTGCTACTACTGCTGCTACTACTGCTGCTAAGGCAGGGCAAGGCAAGTTTATTTGTATAACACAACTCAAAGTGCTGAACAAAACAAGAAAGCATTAAAATCATAAATAATCACAGTACATTAAAAAGAAAGATAAAAATATAAAATCCCTCAGTTGTAGCACAGCTAAACAGAACTGTCTTTAACCTGGTTTTAAACATTGTCAGAGAGGAGGCCTGTCTCACATCTTCAGGAAGACTGTTCCAGATTTTAGCAGCATGAATCTGAAAAGCAGCCTCCCCATGTTTAGTTCTGACTCTGGGCACTAACAGGAGTCCAGTCCCTGTGCTCCTCAGAGTCCCAGCAGGAGTCCAGTCCCTGTGCTCCTCAGAGTCCCAGCAGGAGTCCAGTCCCTGTGCTCCTCAGAGTCCCAGCAGGA